TGCTTCTGATTGAGTATAAAGAGGAGGTTCCCATGACCCCCTTGTCAGATTCAATAATTTGCTAGAATGATTTACAGAAGGTCAGAAAGCACTTGGCTCACTATTACCAGTTTATTATAGAGGCTGTAACTCAGGAAGAGCCAAATGGAAGGGTCGCATGAAGCAAGCTATGCATTAGGGGGTGTGTGTGTGTGGAGCTGACGTGCTACTTCCACTATGTATCTCCATTTGTTTGCCAAGTTACATGCTTTCCCCAAGCTGTGGTTGAGTGTTTGGATGGAGGCTCTGTTGTGTAAGCATGATTAATTGAATCACTGAACGTTAGTGATCACTTAAGTCTCTGGCCCTTCCATCTCCAGGAGTTGAGAGATAGGACTAAAAGTTACAACCCTCTAAGCATGTGGTTGGTTCCCCTGGCAACAACCGCAGTTTCCCTAGAGTCCCTTCATTAACTTAAACTCATAACTAAAGATTGATCAGAAGAGGCTCATTATGAATAATAGATGGTGTTCTTCTCACCTTTTCACTTGAGAAGTTCCAACGGTTTAAGGAATTTTGTGCTAGGAGTCAGAAGGAAACCCAGACAACTAATTTCTTGTGATATCACAATAACACATTCTCACAATGCCCCTTTAAGGTAGGTAATTAGTAATCTCTCCATTTTACTGCTGAAGTCACTGAAACATAGAAAGGTTAGTGAACTTGCCCAAAGTCACACAGCAAGCCATGGAAACAGTCAGTGCCTGTGGTATTTACACCTACAACCAGTTGGAGGGTTCTGCTGCTTGTGGAAGCATTTCTCAGAGAAGTCAGCTAGTGCACGGCTTTGAAAGATGCACAGGGGTTAGCCAGGTAGGCATTGTAAATAGTAGGAGAGGGTAAGAGGAAGAAAGGATGTTCTGGGCTCTAGAAGTAGTCTGAGTTAAAAACATGGCATCCCGGCTCTGCTTTCAGACCAGAGATGGTCTACCCAAGAAACTGTTGAATTCATCTGGACAATGAGATGCTGGACTCTATGCATGGTCCATGCTTGCAATGAAAGAAGCATGACTGGATTTGAATTGTAATACTGCAATAAGGTGGAGAAATCCACCATGGGGGGTGGTACGGGGAGGGGTTGGGGGAACCTCAGAGCCTATGAAACTGTGTCATAAAATTAAATGTAATTTTAAAAAATTGTTAAAAAATAAAATAAAAAAACATTACCAAAACAAACAAACAAACAAACAAACAAACCATGGCATCCATACTCTTCTGGTACAAATGCAGGATTGGAGTAGGGGTGTGGTGGGAGAGCAAGTCTGTTTGTCTGATTGTTCTGTGAGCTGCATAAATGGCAATCTAAGAGACTCTGAGCACCGGCAAGAAGGAGGCCCTGGATGGCCATGTGCAGTGACCCCTGTGCAAGCCTGGGCCAGCTGGCGTCCACAGGAAGGGCTCACACAGCTTCTTTGTAATAGCAGCCCACACCGTTTGGTTAAGTGCTTGTTGGTCATCTTCTGGGTTAGCTTAAAAAAATATATATGAGTCTGTCACACCAAGTTTCCAGATCTCTCTAAAACCACTATAATTTATTTATAACTTAGATTTCTCTAAGTTGTTTCTGTAACTGCACCTCAGGCGCTGTCTCTTTGGCCAAGAAGCTGTTTAACAGCCTTTTAGCAAAGCCACGCATTAAATGTGTACTGAATGTATCCCCTGCCGTCTTAAAGGGCTATTAGACTATTGGAGGTCATTTTATTTTATTTGTGGTTTGCAGGCATAACTGTAGCCTGAGGAGCTCTTTCATAGTTGGTCATCAGACCCAAGCGCTTCCCTTGCTTTATTCATTGTAATCGACCCTTCGAAGGGAGTACACATATCTCTTGTTGCTCCCTTGAGGTGACGTAGCAAGAAGATGGGAAGTGCATTGAGATTTTGCAGAAGGTGGTAGAGGTAGGCATTATTTTCATGGTTGATTTAAAAGAAGTCTTATGCAGTATGTATCTCAACTTTTGTACCAACTTCTTGCTGTTAGATTTGCCAACCACTAGGGAAGGAACACATCAGCTGCATATAGAAAAGAATTTAGATGGCCTTTATTCCAGAAAACTGCAGTCACGGGCTTTACTGCCCCATGCAGCATAAAGGCAGAGATGAAACAGGTAGCTATAGAGGTAAGAAAAACCAGGAGGAGACATGCAAGGGAATTTTAAACTCCCCTTGTCATGGATGCTGGAGTAGGGGGTCGCTTTGGCCCTTATTTGGTGGGGGATATGGGTTTGTGTCTGTCACTGAGGCAGCAGTGATTTCACTGCCTCAGGGGCCCATCAGAATCCCCCAGTCAGTTCCAGGTTGCAGTCTGGGACCAGCTTGAAGCAAACTCTGCCCTACTCTGGTTACCGTGGCAACCATCACTTGCCCCCATAGAGAGACAAATTCATAGTAGAAGCAGAAGTAAATGTGCAAGTGAGAATAGAATTGACTTAGAGAGTCAGACTGCTTTCACACATGAGCATGGGCTACTCCAACAGAGAGATACCAACCGTGAATGGGCCAGAGCTGCCTGTGAGGACAGAGTGTGAGAGGGGGCCAGGACAGGACCCAAAAGCAAGAGTCAGAAGCTAAAAGGTAAAAAACAAACATAAAAACAAAACAAAGCAAAAAACCAAGCAAGGTTGTTCCCATATGCAACAGTCCCTTTTATGGGGTAGGCTTGGTACCTGACTGAATATACAAATGGGGTACAGCTGTTGTGGCCATTTGGGGAGTAAACTACTGGGCAGAAGATACTTATCCACCTTTCCTTCTGTCTGTAAATCTGACTTTCCAATAAAAATAAATAAACCTTTAAAAAAATCAATTACAAACAAATGGGGTACAATTTGGGTGGGGCTTAGTGTGTATGATGAGGCTTTCTGGCAATTTCGTGGTGCCTCCACATGGAGCTTAGTTTCCATAGGCCATCTGACTTCATCTTCTTCCTGGTCCCTGATGAGACACAGGTGCATCCTGGGAAAGTGGGCATAGTGGGTTGACAGGTAGGGTGGGGCATGCAATTACAATGCAGGGCTCACACAGAAATTGTGAGAACAATTTTCAGGCTCACCTATTCCTGTGTAATTGTCTTCTGTTTCCCCCACATCAGATGTAGAAGAAATTGACTTTTGGCTTTGATAGTTTTATAAGTAATCTTCCTGAGGTTTTTTTTTTTTTCTTTATCATTTTGCTCCTTTTTGCATTTGTAGAATTCTACAGGCACTTCAAACTGAGAGCTTAGAACCCAGTCTTCTGAAAGAACCATTTAATTTTTCCAGAAAGAAATGTATCAGTAAGCCCACCTACTACCTTTCTACTCAGTCATGTGGCATTTGGAATTCATTCTGGGGTTGGCCTTGGATTAGCAAATGGACACATTCCTGTGCCCTTTGTCTCCCATGTGAATTATAAAAATGTAAGCTAAAATTGTTCTCTGGAGTCTTTCCCTGTTTACATCTCCCATCCACTGAAGGGCTCCGTTATCTAAGTCATTTCCATATATCTGTCTTCAGCATGTTTCAAATTCCTTGGGGACTTGATTTTTAAAAATAAGCTTTGCTGTGGGAAACTTTGGGACTTGAAATAGAATTTGCTCAGACTTCCCTCCTTCAACATGTCTATGTGCTTATCTTCTCAAAGATCTCCGATTAATCCCTCCCATTGCTCTTATGGGTGGAATTTATACTTTCTGATTTAGAACTGCTGGTCATCTTGGTCCTGGTTACTGTCAGTTGTCTCTCACTTGCAGAGGTCCCTCCCCCTGCTCCATCCCCATCATACTTTTAAAGAGAATGCTGTTTAAAGTTGCTTCATAAAGCAGTCTGCACTTTCAGAACCTGTTACCCCAGTGACATAAAAGTCTGATCTCACCCTTAAGTCAGTCCCAGTTTTTATATTAATTGTGCTGCTTGGGACAGATTTCTTAAGCCAAACACTTAACATATATCCTAGACCTGAGATGAATGTTTGATTTTGTAGATTATTTTGAAAATTTAATGATTGGATGTTTAAGTTGGAAAGGCACAAGAAAATAACAAGGAGCTTATTACTTGAAGGAAGGTAAAGGAACAGGATTGCTAGTACTGGCTCTATTTCCCTCTCTACTGGGCCTGTCTTCCTGAAGCTAGTAGGGAGACAAATGATGGGCCTGTTAAAGAACAGTGTAGGTGCTTGGGTAAGGATCACAGAGAATCCTTGGCCACTTGGTCAGGAGACTTACCATAGTGTGGTTCCTCCAGGTCTAGCTTAGTCGGTTGGGAGTGGGGAGGCTAAAAATTGTGGGTTTTTTTTTTAATTAATTAATTAAATTTGAAAAATGAAGTATGCTTCCCTGTGCTGTTTCACTCCTTAAATGTCCCTAACAGCTAGGCCTGGGTCAACCCAAAGCCAAGCGCCCAGAGTTTAACCTGGTTCTCCCGTGTGAGTGGCAGGAACCCAAGTACTTGAGCCATCACCTGCTGCCTCTCAGGGTCTTTGTAGTAGGAAGCTGGAATCTGGGGTGGAGCTGGGACTCACACTCAGGAACTCGTTGCAACTGCAAGACCAAACACCTGCTCCTGGAAAGTCAGTTTTCTGGAAACTTTCTTTAATCTTCCCTGTAAGTCAGTTCTTACTGACTATACTGTTAGGATCGACACTGTTTTCGGGTCATTGATCTTCTAAGAGGCACCTTGTGAAAAATTACAGTAAAATGCTACAAGAAATTTTGTACTGCATTGCATTGATCTACCTGTAGACACAACCAAACCCTTTTTTCCTTGGGGATGGTTTTCCTACACTTGCAGTTTTCTCAATTTCTACTTTAATATTATTTTCCAGTGTTTCTCTGAAATGATGATATGGCATGGTCAACTTAAAGCTCTAGCTCTATAAAAGTTACAGCTTAAAAAGAAAAAGAAAAAAAAAACCCTACAAAACTTTGTTCCCCTTCTTCCAGATTCCTCTTCTGCAACTAATGAGGTTACCATCTTCTTTTTTCCTAGGATGGCCCAGACTCTGCTGGAGGAAACCGCACAAAGCAGGAGAGCGCGTGGATATTCAGGCTGTGGTACAGCTTTGACCACAAGTATCCTTTTCAACAGCATTCCCTGGGTCTGTGAAATGTGGATGATGAGATCCTTCTGTTGAGCTGTTGAGGAATGATTCTGATGGGTGTTCTTGGCTGGGTGTAGACAGTACCCCCTGGACACATGCGTTCATCATTCAACTACAGGTAGTCCTGGTGAGCAACTCTCTGGCCAGGAGGAATGTTTACATATCACTCATTTGGTTCTTGAGAGCTTTGTGGCTTGGTGTCCAGGGAGACTATACCTTTGTAAGTGAATTAGTTAAAATTATTTAATGAACCATGCTGTGATCATGCTAATCCTAGTGAGGAGGATAATTCCTGTTGGCTGAACTTGGCCAGGTCTGATCTTGTATGATCTGATACTGGCATAACTGGCATGCAGACTAGAACCTGTTCTAGAAGATTGACTTGGTCCCAGGTAAAAATGAAAAACCGAAAAGTTCAGCCTTCAGTGTTTCTTAAATTGACCTAGTGATCAAATGGGCAGATAGCCTATTATATATAGTATTTGATGACTTCAAAAATGTTTAAAAAAAAAGTGTTACTGAAGTACACAAAAAGCACACAAACCGGAAGTGTTCAGTAAATTATCACAAAATAAACATAATCATTCAGATTAGCCAAGAAACACAAAATGGCCAGTTCTTCTCATTCCATAGTTATGAACACTTCTTTCTTCTTCCCAAATGCAACCACTCTCTTAATTTGTAATAATAAAGTATTTTTTTACCTGTTTTCCAACTTCATACAAATGGCCATATACAGTGTGTGTGTTTGTGTTTAGGTGCATATATTTGCATATATGTATGAATTTGAGTATGTAAATATGCATTTCTTTTGTAAACAAGTTTGTTAGAAGCCTTCTGGATTGGACTGGGGGAAGAGGGAACTTTGAATAGCTTAAGCAGGGAATTGGAAGGCAGCCCTGGTGTCCCCTCACTGTAGGGCTCCAATCTAGGGAATCCCACCTAGATACCTGAAGAGACCCATTAGACTGGAGGAGCTGTTCCCAAATTGAACCAGCACTGTGTCTGGACCCCTTGCCAGGGAGTGCAGTTAAAGCCACAGCAGTCCAAGGGAGCATGTTCCATCTGTAAAGAGCTGGGGCAGACCCTCTGAGTTCCTCCTTTGGGGACTAATTGGCAGCTGAGAGCAGACCGCAGTGTATGCTTTCCATTGTCTCCTCTAGAGAAAGCTGCTGTTCTCTTGCGTTGCTCTCAGTGAAGACAGGGGTAAGTGGGCACCGGACTGTCAGCCTGATGGGCACAGATTGCTGTGGCATATTCTTACCTCTACTTTTTTTTTAGATTTATTTATTTTTATTGGAAAGGCGGATATACAGAGAGGAGAGACAGAGGAAGATCTTCTGTCCGATGATTCACTCCCCAAGTGACTGTAATGGCTGGAGTTGCACTCATCTGAAGCCAGGAGCTTCTTTCAGGTCTCCCATGCGGGTGTAGAGTCCCAAGGCTTCGGTGCGTCCTCGACTTGCTTTCCCAGGCCACAAGCAGGGAGCTGGATGGGAAATGGAGCTGCCGGGATTAGAACTGGTGCCCATACGGGATCCTGGCACAAGCAAGGCGAGGACTTTAGCCGCAAGGCTACCATGCTGGGCCCTTCTCACCTTCTTTTTAAGTGTCTTGGTGTCTCTGTATCTAGGTGATCATCTGAGAGCTTAGAGTGTGGGTCTCAGGTGGTCCCAGCTCTATCATAGTGCAGGGTGCTTCCCTCACAGGTTTTTTTCCATGTATCAAAAGAACTACATAAAAGAGCTCCACAGTATCAAAAAGAGTATCAGGAAGAGCTCCATAAAGGCTCCTGGTTATTGCAAAGGTGCTGTCTAACTCATGCATTTCTGTGCTGTGCCCTGTGGGTGGAGGGGTTCAGCATGGATACCTACAGAGACAGGTCTCAGGGGATCCAGGGCACAGACCCCCTCTCTGGCTGTTTGTAACTCAGGAAGTGGTTGCATGTCAAAGCTGAGTTACTCATTAACATCCAAGCCACCAAGTCAGAAGGGCATTCTAATGAATCGACTATGAGGGTCATTCAAAGGTTCGTGGAAAGCACATACAACATGGACACTGTACAAGGCTTTCAAATAATTTTTGCATCAGAATTGACTTCTCCCTTGATTCTTTTTTTCCCCCATGAACTTTGGATTCCTCTGGATTCACCATCCTGGGAATTAACAGCTGCCACTTCAGGCCAGTAAAGGAGAGTGTAACCTTTGATACAGATTGGTACTCTTTACACGTGTTTCCTGTTTCTGAAAAGCTGAGCAAAGATGCTGTTCTGTGGGTAGAATGTTGGATAATTTTCTCTTTGATATTTGCCAACACAGGTTGTTGGATGTGTGATTTCTTTGCAGCCATCTTCCTTAATTCACTTGTTAAAAGTTACTTGAAGCCCATCCTCACTCACAGTGGCCCGCCTCTAACCACCACCCTTCCTGCCTGGTGTGGCTTGCTAGCTCGGTGCCTGACCAGCCCCCAGGTGTATGATGTAAGTACCACGTGTCGGGGGCCCTCCTGCTCACCAGACCAGGGAATGGAGTCTCTTACCTTGGAAGAACTCTCATCGCACACATGTCTGCACATCCACAGATTTAGCTTCCCTTAATAAGATGAGTAGAAATGGCCAGATGGCCTACACTTATATATTGTACAGTGACACTGAAACTTATTCCCAGGGTTACGGGACTCCTCATTGGCAGCTATAGTTGTAGTGGAAAGAAATCTGGATTTGCAATCAGATGCTAGACTGGCATCCAAGTCCTAGGGGGCCATTGCAGTGCTCTGTACCTCAGGTTTCTAATCTGCACAATGGGCCTCATAGTGTAGGCTGGTTGTGAGCATTAAATGGCAAAGTATGTACACTGTGAACTAAGCTTTTTGGCATTGTAAAATTCCTTATGTATGTAGTTTGCTCATGTTAGTGTAGTTAGGTGCTTTCTTTGCATTTTCAGATTCTAGAAACAGACTTAGCTCAGTGTTAAAAGGGTCCCCATATGGATAGACTGTGGAGCTCCTGGTGTTGGATCCAAGCAGCAGCAGGAGGAGAGGTCAGAGGTCTCTCCTCCTCCCCAACTCTCCTACCCATCCTGATTATCTTGTCATGAACGTGATCATTAGATCTAGCAAAAATAACTTCTGAAATCTGTATACAGCTCCCCAAAGGCTGACCTCGTTCTCTTGGCTGCAGTTTGGCTAAACAGCTGGTGCAGTGGTGCTGATGAGGAATGTGGGTCTTGTTGGTGTTGTGAGCAGCCCATGGGCCCATGACAGAGCTGAGACCCTTGTACAGCTGTCTAGCTAAGTAACTGATAGCCTGCGATTGACTTGGCCAGTGATAAGAAAGCAGAATGCAAAGCCTGGATGAAAGAGAGAACGGTTGAGTTCTAATGGGATGCAGTTAGGAAAGGACATGCACACACAGATGCTACTGAGGGTGAAAGGACATAGGTAGTCTAACCAGCTGTGAGCACGGGGAGAGGTGGGAAGAGCAGTCCCATCAGGGCTCCCATGATGTGAGGATGTGCCACCTTAAGGCTCATGCTCTTCCTCCAAGAGCAGGGATTACATCTGTCAAGTTGCCCTGTGTCCTAAATGCCAGCTCTCCCCTGACAATGCCCCACTGCTTTGCAGTGGTGAGGTCTGGCAAAGAGTAAGCTCTGTGTGTCTGTCACTGCAGCATCTGCAAGGACCCCCTCAGAGGGCAATGAACATTGAAAAGGCCTGGGGGGCAGCAATGAAAGTTTACACTTGCAAGCCCAGCGGAGCTGCTAAGCTCTTCACTCAGGGAGAGCAGTTTTGCCCAGTAAAGAAAATGCAGTTCTGCCAGGGCATGTTCACTGCATGTGCCAGAGAACAGCATTTCCATTGCCTAGTGGTTAACACACTGACTAGCTGTTGTAACTAGTGTCATAACAGAATGCCGAGGATCAACTCCCAGCACAGCCTGCTGCTTCCAGCTTCCTGCCGAGGCACACCCTGGGAGGGAGCCATGGATGCCTTAAGTAATAGAGCTCCTGCACCCCAGGTGGGCAACCTGGATTAGATTCTGGGTTGGTTCCTTGCTTTGGTCCCCCTCAGTGCTAGGGTGGGCACTTGGAGAGTGAGCCAGTAGGTGGAAGTACTCTCCCTATTTTTAGAGTAATGCAATTGCTGTTCTACTTGTGGCAAACTGTTTTTAAACTAAAAAAAAAAAAAAGTGGGTGGGATAGTAAAAACAATTCCATTTCCCTAGAACTGCTCATGAAATGATTTTGAATGCAGGTGGTATGTTTTTAATGTTTTATCTGTCATCCTGATTACCATTTATGTCAGAAAGAGTTAAGCCAGCACATACAAAGTTAGCCTTATAATTTCTGCTGCTGTTCTTTTAAACTTGCTTAAGGGGAGGTGTCTTGACTTACACGCTGAGTGGTTTGTTTTCTTGGCCCTTCTGTCTCCAGTGGCAGTTGGGACATTTGGATACATCTCATCATCAGACACTGCCACCCTCCTGCTGGCAAAATGCCAACTGGTTACACATTTCCATCAGGCATTGTTTCTGGGTTGGCATGTTGTTGCTGCTGTTGTTGTTTTGCCTTCTAGTTTCAATCTCTTTTGAACATTTTGTAGAACTTATGTCTGAATGAGGGTCACTTTCCAAGCCTATGTATTCCTAAGATGACTAACCCACTATAAAAACTTATTAAACCCTCATCTAACCTGGAATTTACTAATAATTTCCTCGCTCCTAGATCAGGGATTTACCTGGACATGTTTGAACTCAGCCTAAAGTTGGTACACTTGTAATAGCTTGAATTGAAAGTGCTGCCTTCACCTACTCAAGGAACTGTATTCAAAGCTTGCTTCTACACAATCACATTTGGGCTCTGGACTCCCAGCAGTGAGTTGGGAATCACCTCCAATGCTGCTGCAGCTGTGAGCTAGCAGCCTACCCTGGGTCTCAGGCCAGCTCTAGGCCTGCTGCTGAGGTATGCGAGCAAAGGGTCTTTTAAAATGATCAAGTGAGAATTAAAGGGGCTCGGCTGTAGAGTGGAGTGCTGGATAAGTGTCTCAGACTGGGCACCATCCAGGGCTGTTTGGCACATATGTGATTTGTACTCCTCATCTTGTACTTTGCCGGATTTATTTGGAGGAATCTGAAATAAATGACAAGTGTTCATTATTTCCCACCAACTCTAACCCACTTTGGTTTAGTGTCTACCTAGAAAATAGTATTTTTTCACTTATTAGGATGATCTCTAGTTATTTAAAATATACACATCCCCACACACTGATGTTTACATGGATTTTCAGGGGCATTTCAGTGGATTTTGCACAAACCAGGTACATAAGGGTATTTTAAATCATTCATGGAGAGTGGCATCAGAAGCCATGAGAAACTCAGGGCTGGCATTTAGCCTAGTGATTACAATGACAACTAAACTGTCCGTATCCCACATCAGAGTGTCCAGGATTTGGTACACAGCTCAGCCTGACTCCCACCTCTACTAATGCAGACTGGGGGAGCAGTAGGGATGGCCTAAGTGATCATCTTCTGACCACCCCATGGGAGACCTAGGTAGGGTTCCCAACTCCCACTTCAGTCCCAGTGCATGCCCAAGTCCTGGATGGTTCTGGCTAGAGGCAGCACAGGACTTCAGATAACCTGGGACATTTGAGGGGTAAACTAGCAGATAGAAAACTCAACCCCTTCCTCAAGTGCCTCTGAAATAAACTAAGAATTTTATAAAGCTAAATTTATTTTGGTGTAGAAGCATTTTCAAATCCAAGTTTTCAGAAATGTGTTTGTGCAAACCCCCACAACTGTGCATGAATTTTTACACCTTTGCATAAAAAAATCACTACTTTTAATTCCATTTTGCATGATTTTTGGGAAATAGCTTGGTATAATTATGCAGGGCTTTAGCTTATCAGGCCTGTGTTGACCTGTTGAGTCTAACATCTAGTATTTTAGGGCATGAGTTGATCTCATCACCCGCAGGAAATGTTCCTGAAGTGTTTATGTGGAGATTCTTATCCACCAACTTTTCCTGGTTCCTTGTTTTTAAATGACCTATCTTCGGGTGCTGTATCTAGGTTTGTTGGTTTTGTTAAAGGAACGGGTCGACATCCAGCCTTGCTTTCTCCTGGCAGTGAATGTTGCCCGCACTTCCCTCTCCGAGGAATCAGAGCAGGCCACTCCATACACATCCAGGGTGCTTTGGTGTCCTTCCTTCTATTTACGGAATTCCCTTTCAGCTGCAGGTAGTCATCTATGCCTCCATGGCCCCAAACCTTGAAGCAGTGAATTACCTGCCAGGACTGGCTCCCAGAAAATCGAGAGCTGAAAGCTCTCTCCAGGAGATATTTTGACTGAGATAAACAAAAACAAGACTTAGCACATGCCTCAACATGGGAACGGAGGCATGCTAAGACAGAGAAGCAGGACTTGCTGGGAATTGGAAACTCAGATGGGGCACATGATGTCATTTGTTGTTAAAATGATCATAGACCAGATACTGGTTCAGTTCTCCTGAAACACGAAGAAGAGGCAGTTTGGGAGTGAGGCGCAAGTTGCAGAACTGTGCTCTAGATACCCACATGAGCCCAGGGCTTTGTTTCATTGTCCACCTGCCCCCTGCCTTATCGCAGTGGAGATTTGAGGTATCAAGGAAGAGAGCTTATGTGTATGCTTGCTAAGAACGCTGGAGCACTGATTGAGTGCAGTCACACTGTGGGCTATGTGTGGAACACTTGACATCATTGAGAAACAATGCAGAAAACAAGCATGTGCTTGTCATTGTACACAGAGATGAACTGGGAGAGAAGCAGTAAGGGAAAGCGAACCCAGGAATCCTCCCTACGGGCACACATTTACCACACATCCATTCAACACCTACTGGGAGGACGCCCAGGAGAGGAGAAAGTCACTGCACTTGGTGCTTTGTCATCTTGCTGTGGAGTAGCAGTAATTGCAGGAAAGTGCTCATGGCCTTGGACAGCGTAACTGAGCAGAAGCTTTGAGGTGTTCCTAGGGGGAGGAGGTCTTGTCTCTAGGGAGAGGTACAGGATTGACAGGAGTCAGGAAAGAAGGGAGCAGTTTACCCAGTGTGTTGATGCTATGAGTTAGGCATTTGAGAGAGTGGTTCACAGTGTTTGACTTAAGTCAGTGCAGCAGGGGAAGGGAGGGGATAACTCTTCCCTCATTTTGCTTATTAAACTCACTGGAGGGTGAAAAGTTCTGCCTGGCCTCCCAATGTTTCCTGGCACTCACTCCACACCAGCTGGTCCTTTCGAGTGGCTGTCACATTGCTGATGCCTTGCCTGTGACCACAACAGTGGCCTAGCCTGAGATACCCTCCAGGCCTTTCCCTGACATAGTGAATTTTCATAGTCTCTGTGGGCAAAACCAGTCTAGACACAGCATGCATTCAAACTTTGCCTCTTAGCCACTGGGCAACCTCAGACACATCCCATAGATTCTGGTAGCTCAGGTTTCAGCTCTTGTGATGAATGTTCACACTCTTGAGGCGGGGCGGTATTAGGGGGTGGTGAATCAGATGAAGTCCAGGCAGGCATATAAGGCTCAATATAAGGTATTGTCCTCTCTCTCACTTACTTCAAATGTAAATGAGATTCAGGATGACTTGTGTAGGGCAGGATGCTCACCCAGTAGAGACAGTACCCACAGCCTACTGCCAGCCTATGCCCAGTGACCCAAGCCCTTCCTTGCTTTATGGGGCAGGAAACTGAAAACCCAGGCAGGTTTCTCTTCTTTATTTTGTCATTAATAAGGAGCTGTCAGATATTTCAAATCACATTTTAAGAAATGTATTTATTTGTTTGAAAGGTAGAGCTACAGAGAAAGGGAGAGACCAAAACAGCAAATGAGAGAGCATGTAAGTGAGAGAGAGCTTCCATCTGCTGGTTCACTCCCTAGATTGCTGCAGTGGCCAGCACTGGGCCAGGATAAAGCCAGGACCTTCATGCTAGTCTCCCACATGGGTGCAGGACTTGCCCTTGGGTCATCTTCTGCAGCTTTTGCAGGCACGTTAGCAGAACTGTGTGCTGGTATTTTATGTCCTGGTTTTGGCAAGGGCGCCTTGTACTGATTAAATACCACCCTATGTTTCACATCCAGTTACCATACTAGAGGCTCCAGGTAGACAAGATTTCACCATCCCAGGCTTTCAGATGAAGGGTTTGGGTTGGGAGTTGGTGCCCATCCTGAAGACATCAGTCTCTTATTTTTGTTGTTGATTGCACTTTTCAGAACCAAGAGCCACTGAGAGAGGAAGACTCTGATTTCATCCTGACCGAGGGTGACCTCACCTTGACCTATGGGGACAGCACAGTAACTGCGAATGGCTCCTCAGGGTCCCATGCAACCTCTACGAGTCTTGAGGGGCGAAGAACCAAGAGCAATTCAGAAGAAGTGCTGGAGAGAGACCTGGGAATGGGAGACCAGAAGGCTTCGAGCCGGGGCACTCGCCTCGTGTTTCCAATGGGGGATAACGCATGACATCTCCCCCTACCCTACCCCCAAACCCAGAAGCAATAGGGTAGGCCCCGAGTGGGGTGAGAATGACTGTAAGCCCCTGTGGCATTTGAGGTGGGGGCATGGACTGAATAGAAATAACGCTTCTGTCTTATTGGGGTTTGAAGTGATCTTAAAATTCATCGCAAGACACAGATGGTAAAGCTAAAGTGTCTCTAAATTCAGACAAAAGCAGCCCTAGTCCCATTTTTTTACCCAATAGTGCACTGTTTCAGACTTAAACACACAAAAATTAGCATGCTTTAGTGTTCTCTCCATTCATCCGCCTGCAGCATCCGAGCAAGGTAGAGCAGGCGTTGGGACTCCTCCCACGGAGGCCTTATGTCCAGACGCAGCAGTGCTAAGCCAGCCAGCCCTAAGAATGGCAAGTTAGAGAAGAACAGGCTAGAAGGAAGGCTGCAAAAGGAAGGCATATGAGATTGCATCCTGTGGGATGATGGAAAACTGGTGTTACATGGGACAGAAAATGTAAAAAGGCAATTTGAGTGGAAACCCCAATGATGAAGGCTGCGTGACTACACCCTTGTCTTCACTTTTTATGCTACTTGTGTTTCTTCTAGACAAGAGTAGAATGTGTATCCATGAACATTTCAACGTGAGGGAAAGAAATACAGTTCTTTCTCTGGAAATTTCCATGAAGTTATTGAACTAATTCAAACCAAAGGCAAATAGTGTTATACTGTTGTTGTTTTAAATAATTTCAGGACAAGGAGGCATTTAGAAACTGATGATGATATCATAAGATTCACTCAACTTTTGAGAGCTACTATATGAGCAAGTTGCCTGGGAAACAGTTACTGGGACCAAGATGTCTACTGGGTGTTTAGAAATAACTTTAAAAAAATGTAGGTTGCTTTTTTCTGGGAAGGAGAAGGCAGCAAGCAACCTAAGAGGCAATTCACTAGTACTTACAGGAAAAATGATCTTAGTGCAAAAAAATTAAACTGAAAAGAAGATAGGAGATAGTTGTCCAAAAACAGAGTAGAATCACAAAGTCTCAGCTGATATTTGCATGAAGTTTCATGAGCACCTAAGGAATCAGGGGCAAGTCAATGGAACTTTCAGCTTGTTCAACCCAGTGGAAGGGTCCTGTTATCTAGAAGCTTAAGAGCCCATGAGTGCCAAGCAGAGAGGGATCATTTTCCTTGGCATCTGGAGAGACTATTACATCAGCTTAAAAAGTGGGGGAATTGTTTGAAATTTAGGTTTTCAGTTTGGGTCTTTGTGGGTAAGCTGTTCTACCAACCCACCTCTGTAGCAGATGAAATACTGAGAAAACTCTTGCAAAATATCTGAGGTTTCCCCCATGTCTCTATGCTTAAATGCTAGCATTTTTGGCAGTGCAATTTCTACAGAATGTTTTGATGACATGTGGGTATTTTTCTTCTTAGCCCAGATAAAATAGTGTCCCCAGTCTAGTACTCTTGTCATGAAATCAGCTGTTTAACTTTCTTAACTCACATTTTAAATGATTCCCTTTTAAATAAGACATTGCTTCAGAAGTTTTTGGTTGAACAGTCATTTGTGTGGATCAGGAAAGATATATTTAATGAGGCTAAGCCATATGAAATTAGATAGTCAACCATTTTTAAAAGCCGGGAAGGGCAATTTCATATGGCTCAATATAATGCAGCCAAATAGATTTTAGTCATCCTTTCCTAAATTCATTTTGAGTTAATGGCCATGTGTGGGCTTTGTACACTTGAAAGCAGCTCAACAACATACCTAACCCATATAGCATCATGGTTACAAGGCAAGTGAATGATTTAAGAAGATCCAAGGCCCAAAGCTGGAGAAAGAGCTTATTTAGAGATCCACAGGAAAGGAAACTATTATCTTGAGGTGGTTGTTGGAAGCAGCTGTTGGGCTTGGCTAGAGGCTGGAAATGGCTCTGGGTGCTCATGCGATGTGAGAACCAGCACTAGAGTCCTTGAGTTATCTCAGAAATGACCAGTAATGCTGTACCCACAGGTAAGGTTGTTTGCTTGCAGAGATGGGGGATAAACTGGTGAGCTCTTTATAAGACCTTATCTTTTTTGTTGCTACCTTTAGGAGGGGAGGAGTTAGCAGAAAATCCCTGGGGATGGTTCTTGAAAACAGCCAATGTGATAGGATATAACCTGCCTTCATTCGCCTCAACGCTTTTTGGTCCTTTGGGTTTTCTAGGGAGCGTTAGGTAGATTATAAGAAATCAAGTTCTTGGGGAAGAAAAATAACCATGGCATGCCCCATCCTAGTCTTAAATCAATCTGTGTTTTCCCCCAAAGGGTCTTGTGGTCTTCACTGCAAGCATTTGATTCTCACTCACTTAAATAGAAGCAAAAGATTTGCCAAGACCAAAACCAGAGTTGTAATCATTTAATTGGTTCATTTATTCAGTGGGTAAGTCACTATAATCTATGGTCCTAATTTTTGTTTACAAGATGCAGAGAATGACCTTGAACTTACCTGGGATCCTAGGAAGGTAAATCCATTCATGAAAATAGTTCCACATCTAGAAGCATTATGCCTAGATAACTAGGGGACCACAAAGCCCAGACACCTATCCAACTCATGGCTGTCTGCTGTCATTCCAGCGTAAAACCAGATTGAAACTGTTGGATAATGATCATCCAACTAAAAGCAAAGTTCTTCTAAGAGTAAGCTCCTGCCAACTTATATACATACTTGTTAATCCAAGTTGAGGGGGGTGGCATTTCAGCTGAGCAGAGAACATCTGACTGGCTGTATAGTAAGATCACTTGTCTAGTCCCCCTCTCCCTGCAAAAATAAAGCGAGGGCCAGCCCATCAGAGATTTGGATTCAGTGACATTTTGTGGTGGGACCTGGCATCGATGCTTCCTTCTGCAAGCTCAGGAGTGGAGTTGTTAGCCTAGGGTGTGCACGGGGTGCCAATGAGAACCTTATTTAAAAGCGTGACCTAGCCAGTTAAGGTTGCTTTTTTCTTAAATTGCTAGCCCTGTGGAACACACTGAGTTCAGGTTAATAATACAGTCTTCACAGCAGTGAGCATTTCATGTTATCTTTGCAAAACCTAAGAACATACTCGATACAGTGCAACTAAAAAGATCACATTTGAAAACCTTAAATCCTTTAGGGGAGACAAGGGTTATTTATGTATGGGTAGAATTCCAAGCCTGTCATCTACATTCCCATTTGTGGGGAAGAAAAGGAGATTTTTGTCTCAACTGAGCTGTGATATAAAAAAGTTTTCTGGGAAGCTGACTTTTAAATTTAACCTGGAATTAAATTAATAGTCCCTCATGTGAACTTTCTTTGGCTTGGCCCCAGGCCTGAATTGCACTCGTCAGGAAGGAGGAAGGCAACGTTTACTGCTGGAACGGAGTGTAAGATCTTGCTCATTTTACAGTGGTAGCAGTAGCATATTCTATTTGGAAACTTCTAGGAAACCTCAAATTTTCTTAGAGAAGGAACTTTGGAGTTTAAATGAGGCTGCCTTTCTTCCTGTCAAGCAAGCCCAGAAAAGGCATATGGAATATCTCTGGCCACCCAGGTTACTCATTGGGGTGACTAGATAGGTAAGCAATTCATAAATCAAAGCCAAAAATTGCACTGTGACATCAGACATCTCTCATCAAGCAAACAGCAAGGAGCTCTACATTTAGGCTATGTTCTCTAGACCCAAAAATATCCTGTTGTGAATTGGTTAGTGAATCAAACCCTGTAGATAACACGCAAGACTTGATCTCAGCTGTTCATGGACATCTCAGTCCTGGGCAAAGAATTAATATTCTTTCCACACTAGAGGTTTATTTCCATGTTACCCCAATTCACGGACTCTTTTTTTATTTATTTCTTCAATGGAAATTTATGTGACCATGTCAGATATTTAATGTGAACTAATAATACTCAAATATAGAAACACCAGCCCTTAGAGAAGATGAGCCCCAGGACAATTAAGCGACTGGCCAGTGTGAGTTATAAAAGGTCTATCAGAAGGATAATTCTACCATCTGCCCTAAATGTTATCTGGAATGGAAGCTGCTGGCAAGTCAGCTGGCTGACCTAATGAGTATCTGACTGACTCTACTTTAAAAGTGGAGTACTGACAAGTGTCACGCCTGCCTTTTGTTGTTGAATTTGTAAGTTAGTATAGAAACAACTTTGTCAGATATGTTAGACTGTAATTATTAATGGTCTCTAAGTGAGATTCTGGCTCACCAATGTCCGTTGCTGTATTTTGTTATGCTAAGTTGAAGGAATCTAGCGGCCAACAATTGTAGTTAGAAACAACCCATCTCAATGCTGCTTTCATCACTTGGTACTTGAAAGGAACTTACCCTTCATTTAAAACCTATTGAGAATATATAAATACTATAAAATCAGTACTAGTGTTTCCAACTAGGAAAAGCAAGTAGACTCTTGACAGTCCTTTCAAACAAGAAGACCTAGAAGCTAGAAGTAGGCACTTTTCCCCAATCTTGATTTTCATATTTTTTAAATTAATAAACATGTCTTGTCACTCAGTGCTAGCAAAAATTGTAAAGAACAAAACCAAAGTTTTTTGATGTTAGTTTTATTTTCATAAGCAGGGTATGCTTGTACTGTGACCATGTCCTATATGGAACCATGGACAGTGAATTTTCTGCCACTCAAGCCTTGGAGAGGTTGAAAAGTCTGTCTGCTGTATCACCTTTTAAAAAGGTCTGAGGCAGGCAGGAGAGCACAAAGCAGAAGTCACCTCATTCCAATGGCCACCTTGACAAAGGCCAATGTCAAGTTCAACTCTTGGCCAGTGGAAAAATTGTCTGAGCCTATATATGTGGAAGGAACTTGGATAGAAACGGACTTGTAAACAGTATGAAGAACTCCATATCTAATATCTCAAGCACTTTTTAAAAAGTTAGAATCCAGGTGTTGTTGGGTGACCAACTGGACATTTGGGTGCAGACTTTTATTGCACTTATTCCAATTGCAGGCTTTGGAGAAGCAGAGGAATAATCTTCAGTTAGATGGGTGTTAAGTCTATTGGTTTAGGATGTACTGCTGAAATCATTCAAAGTGTGAATAAGGTCAGCTCCTCCTATGTTTATTATTATTATAACATAAATGTCTGGCATTTCTTGGGAAAAATTACTGTCTGAAAAGTGATGAATTGAGAAGGCCATCAAAATTCATTTACAAGCTGAAATGCAATTTTTAAAAAATAGGATAGGATGAATTTAACATGGAATGACTTGACCTTCTGGGGAACTTTTTATAGACAGCTTACATGTTGTACTTGGGGAGGGGGAAATTTTGTTTTCTGTTTCCACTCAACAGTAGCCAACTGGTGGTTTTATAAAATTAACATTATAGCATGTTGTATAAATAAACATGTTATATAAAAAGACATTGAAGTATGTTGTAACTGTGAAAAACTAAAGACTTGGAATAATCTGCAACTTTTATGTGCAATAAGGAACACTGCAGTAGGCCCCCAAAGTGCTATTTCTCCCTAGTATTTGACTTAATGTTTGCCTTGTGTCTGTTTGCATTGCTATTGTAAAGCTAGCCACATGTTTTCCTGCCCTTTGCTGATATTTAACATGTTTTCTTGAAGCTTGGTTTTGGTTTTTGTTCTTCTTTTTATATAAAACTCAAAATAAAAAAGATGGACGCTGAGCTAATCTGACTTTGTACTTGCTGATCCTATTCCTAGCCTGTTTCTTTTCCCCCATAAGAGGCTCCTTTCTACATGGAACCTGTTCCTCTCCCAGCTTCATGTAGACCAGGGCTTGGCAAACCACAGGCGCCCCTGGACCCTGTACCAAATCCAGCCCACTCACTGCCTGGTTTTTGTAAATAGCGTTTTACCAAGGCAGAGTAGGCTCATTCACTTTTGTATCATTTTCCCTGAGTTTCCTGCTACAACAAGGAGCTGAGGAGTTGCCATTCAACATTCCCAGTGCCCATAAAGCACAAACTATCTATTTGCTGGTGCTTTTCAGGGGAAATTTTTGCTAACTCCTGAGCTAAATGCTTGAAGAAAGTCAGATTACAAATAAGCTGTAAAACTCATGGCAACAGGTTTTTGAGATTTTTTTTTCAAATATGCCTTAAGATTCAAAATAATTATTTATTTGTGGCCTTTGCCAGTGATTGGTGCAGCCCTATAATGGTCTAACAGCAGGCTTTGAGTGTAGAACCCTGAGGAGTGATGACATCATCATGTTATTAGATTGAGGCAAGTGGATTTGGTTTTAAATGTTAATTCCTAGATTATTCCAGGAAAATTGCTAAAATTTCTCATGCTCAAAATATAGTCTCTTTCATGGTTTTCATAGTCTTTTGTTAGGTAGACTAGCTTTTACCTGAACAATGCAGTGGGATTACATCATAAAATCTGCTTCCAAACAAAACAGATCATGCCATTTACTATAATTATCAAAAACTAGCTAGAACAATTTAAAAGCAAGCATTGATTGAATTCATTAGGATTCTCTTAAGCATGAAAAAAGATTACTTTGTATGTACTGGTACAGACATGAGCCAGAGTAAGGGCAGGCACAGCATCAGCTGGCAAGTGCTGGGACTGGGGGCAAGTCCTGTCAAGTTAGACTACAGAACCCCCTGGAGAGTGCTGCAGCTCCCTCTGGTGTGAGGGCCCAGCGTGTGTTGGGCAAGGCTGGGCTGGGCCACAGTACCTGTTGGTTTGCAGAGAGGAAGGAGGGCAGAACAAATTGGACAATTAACCCAGCCAAATGTTAACGGCAAATATCTGGGCGAATGGAGACTCCAAGGTGGACTATGTCAGCCAATGGACCTTAGAAGGATTTCCTCATCTTTGAAGCAGCAGTAACCACAGCATCTCAGAGCTATCTAAACTACTTGAGCATAACCCTCAGAACATGCTCCACAATGGGAACCCTGGGATGACATCAGGTGGCCATTCTCCATCCCCAGGTACTGAGGTGGTTGGGAGGCTGGGCGTGGTTTCTCCCCTTACATACCCCCTTTCCCAAATTCAGGAAGAAGAAAATGAAAATGTGTAAACAACGGCCTCATCCACTTTCCTCTGATACTCGACCCTTCCCACCCTGATCAACTATGTAAACATCCTCAAAAATAAATTTAAAAAAATTGGTGTCAGGTAGCTGAGGGAAGCTATTTGAAGGAAAGTTGGATGTGTTGGCTTGAAAACAATGGCACTCAGACCTTTTATTTAAAACAAATTTAATACAGCTAGATAAGTCTGCATCTGGGTCTTACTTCAAATTGTATTTTTTGTCCAGACACCTGCTGATGTGAAATGGAACCAGGTCACATCTTTTTTTTCCTCATAAAGATGCCTTGTTGAGATGGCTCCAGTACATGGCAGGATCAGCCTGAAGATTCAAGCTCTTCTTATTTTGTGGCCATAAATATCCACATTGCACTGTCACTTTCTTACAGCAAACTTCATCTTCAACTGATGTGTCCATCATTACTTAACAGCTCATAATTCTTGCTCAGCAGAATTGCACAGCAGTTGGTAACCAAGTCAAGTCCCAGGTTCTGACAGTGTGAATGCTTGCCTCCGCAGCGTTGGCTTCTCCAGTGCTGGGGCGGCATGCTGAGTGCCCTGGTTTGTGGTGACTGACCTGGAAGGAAATGAATAAAGGATGTTCGAACTTTGGAATGCAGAAATCCATTCAGAGACAGTCTGTTGGACCCTGGGGATGTAAGGCCTGTAACATAGGATAATCTTCCTCAGCCACATTGTATTATTCAGGACTGGAAACTCATACTGAATCATGTGACCTTTGTGCTTTATGAGACACATTTGGTGGGGGTCAAGACAGAAAAAGGGCAGGGGCATCCCCCCCCCCCCAGCATGGCTGTGCTCTATGCAGCTGCTGGGGGCTGCTGGGTAGTGAGGGGGAAGAGCTCAAATGGAAGCTGTTTCCTTAGGTAACAACTAGATAACCATCCATTCTTGCATGCTTGTTCATACTGTGATCATGCCCACTGCCAAACTGGGACTCTATATGAGCAAGAACTTTCGAACTTTGTGATACCTCTCATTTCCTGCTCTCATTGAACCACACTACATGTGTCATCTAGGAGCATGTGAGCAGTGGAGGGTGGGCTAACTCTGCAGATGTTTGTGCTGGTTCCCTTACCAGCTTCTGACTTGCTTGTGATCCTTCCTTTGATGGAAAAATGAATGATCATAATTCACACTAAGTAGTAAGCTAATTTCACAGATGCCTTAAAGCTGTTCTTTGAATCCTGGGTGTCCTGTTAATTTACATGAAGAAAGAGCTGCAATGTCAACTTTCATTATAATTTAGTTTGATAAATACTAGGGTCCAGATGGACACTGATTTCAAAGATGTACTTTTGTCTTCCTCCTACAAAATTTAATTAATACACCCCTCTCCTACAACAGGTTATCTAAAACAAAATGTCTATAAAGGGTAGAGAGAAGGCAACGACTGATTAGGAAACCTGGGAATTGAGGATGAACCTGACTTTGAATTCTCTGGGTTTTCTTTTTGGCCCCTATATCCTGGAATGGCTGATGAAGAAACCAGCAGATTAAAACAAACAAACAAACAAACAAAACACACAATGGGCAAAGAACAGAGAGACATAGCTTAGAAAGAGAGAAACTAGACCTCACAGGAAAAAAAAAAAATTGCCCATCCTGTCAGCAGCCAGGATTTCTGAACTGTCACTTGGATCTAGCAGTAATCAACTGGCATGCCCTTTCTTCCATTACCAGTGTAGTGTCAGTGGAAGCTTGCTAAAACACTAGATTTAAACAAATTCACAGATTCCTAACATGATATTTTAAATGTTCCAGATGCAATGGAAAAAGCACTTGTCAAACCAAAAACCAGCGAAATTTGACCATGAATGAGAAAGGACAATTGGCAGATAGGAACACTGAAATGACTAACCCAAACATGCTCTAATTAGCCATCATAAACACATACGAAACAGATGAAAAACAGAATTCTAGGTAAAGAAACCAATTTTTATAAAGAAGCAGGCAGAAATTTTACAATTGTAAGAGTCACTAAGAAAAAAATTGTGGGGAAAAGACCTCACTGGATAAGTTCAATAGTGAACAGAGTTAAGATGAGTGAATTTGACCCTGGAATGATAGAAATCAACCAGTCTAAACAGCAGAAAATAGAGTAGAAAAATATGCACGGAGCTTTAACCATTCATGTCATCAGAGTTCCAGGAAACAAAGAGAGGCTGGAAAAGTACATGAGGAAATATGGCTGAAAAGTTTCTTAATTTGATAAAAGTCACAAACCTGTAGATTCAAGAAACTACAAGAATCCAAAGCAAGAAAAACCAAAATATATGCCAAGAAATACCATAATATGGCTTAAGAAAATTAGTCGGAGAAAAAGTCATGAAAGCAACTAAAGCAATGATGTATTATCTATGGGAACAGAGATTTAATGTAAATAGATCCCCTATCGAAAACACAGAGGTCAGAAAGATGTGGGACAACATTTTTCAAGAAATAAAAGAGGGACTGGCGTGGTGGCTCAACAGGCTAATCCCATGTAAGCTCCGGTTGGAGTCTGACTGCTCCATTTCTGATCCAGTTCTCTGCTTATGGATTGGAAAAGCAATGGAGGCTGGCTCAACTCCTTGGGACGCTGCACCCATGCAGGAGGACATGGAGGAAGCACCTGACTCCTGCCTCCTGGCTTCAGATCAGCTCTGCTCAGCTTCAGCTGTTGTGTTTATTTGGTGAATGAAGCAGCAGATGGAGGATTTTCTCTCTCTCCTTTTTCTCTCTGTCTTTCTCTTTCTGTCTCTGTCTCTCTCTCCATCTCTCCTTCTCTCTGTGAAGTCTACCTTTTGAATAAATAATAATGAAATATCTTAAAAATAATAAACTGTCAATAGGTGAAGGTATTCTCAGATGAAACGAAATTTGTTGCTAGTAGAATTGCTTTAAAAGAATCAATGGGAGTTCTTCCAGCAGAGAAAAAATTATAGAAGGAGACTTGAAATAACGCAAATTAATGAAGGACAATAGAAATGATTAAAAATAAATGTAATAGACTGTTCTCTTTATAAAATTATTTGATGGTTGAGGCAAAATTATACAATGTATGATGTAGTTCTCCAAATAAGTAGAGAAAATAGTTAAGAGAATTGCAAGAGGGTCAGATAAAAGACCCTTGATTGAGATTAGTTTTCTACATTTCACTGTTGTAGATGTTGACACCACGAATATGTGATAATTACATGTGTATAATCCAAGGAAACAACCACAAGGGGATATGTTTAAATACACTGAAGATAAACAAAGAAATTCTTAACAATGTTCACCCAGATCACAAGAAGACCAGAAAAAAATAAGACAGCAGCACAAGGGAGAGAGAGAGAAGAAATAGAAATTAGATTTTTTTAAATGGCAGACTTCAGCCCTAAAATATCAATAATTAAATGAAATGTGAACTGTTTAGATACCCTAACCCTAACTGGATTTGAAGTTTTTAAAAAAGATTTATTTATTTAAAAGGCAGAATTACAGAGAGAGAAGGGGAAAGACATCTTCACCCACAGCATCATTCCTCTAATGGCCAGAATGACTAAGGGGCTGGGCCAGGCCGAAAGTAGGAGCCTGAAATTCCATTCAGGTTTCCCACATGAATGGCAAAGGC